TTTTTTTACATTTAAAAGCATTTACATGCCTTACACACAATTCTTATGTATTTATATATCTCAAACCCAAACTTTCATATTTACACATATAAGGATAATTACATACATAGCTCAAGAAACATTGTTATTTACCAAATATAGAACCCATGTACTATTCTTAAACTATCAAACTGATGTATTTATGCATGACACTATTAAATAATTGAGAATTTCACAAAAATGAAAAATAAGTGTTGGGATTTAATGATGAATTTTGATATTTGAGTGAGAATTTAAAAAAAAGAGTGTGCTAGATTTGTAAATAGCAACATTTCGGTTGCTATATATATATGTAGTGTGTTCTAGATATTCAAATTTAACATTAAAATTTAGGTGTTATGTGAAAAAACGTAGGTAATGAGCTCTAAGTATGTAGCAATTAGGTACATCATGACAAAGATAGAAAATATATCATATATTGGATGCTTAGCCATTGGCTACCACAACTTAATAATCTCTTCTATTAGAGTTTTGCGGCTGCTGCTTTGAATGATTATACATAGGGGATCTGTGGAACTAGATAAGATAACAATCTTTATTATGAAAGAGTGAGAAAGATGGAGATTGAGATACGTGTGCTGATGGAACTGAATACCTCTCAGATATGTGTGCTGATGGAACTGAATACCTCTCGTGCCATATCAGGTTGATTAATGTAATGTAAACCTCTCACCATCTTATTCTTTGATATAAGTGCAAGACTACAAAAATTGAGATATATGTATTGAAGATTCTATTGTCATATTGAAACACTATAGCAAACATTTAAACATTTTGCAATATCACATTGAATGTCAAGAAGAGACATTCTATTTTTTTACATGGGTATCTTCGCAATCAAATTTTTTCTACGATCTATTAAAAGAAAATGTTTCATGCTAAGTGAATATCATATCCTATATCTAATAATTGACTCAAACTGAAACTATTATTCATCTTATTAGCTACATAGTAAACATTTGAAATGGTTAATGACTTCCATTCTTCAAGCCTATTAGAATTTTATTTTTACCTTCTACCAATATTTTTGATTCATCTCCAAATGAGAAAATATAAATTTAACATTTTAACAAAAATATATATAAAAGAACAATCAAATTTCTACAGCCTACAAATAACAATTAACAATCTCATAAATATGTACTTATCCACCAGCATAATGCAGGATCTATGAACAAACAAATGTCGATAATGAAAAAAAAATGTACTTAGCAAAAATTAAGCTATATGGATAAAAATTAGCATCTATAGAAACAATTCAATTACAAAATACAAATAATATGTCCAACACATAGTAAGCAAATAGTACATGGACCCCTATGTAACATCAGCATCAGCATCATCTCCCTCATTTCCCTTACCCTCCTCGATTACAGATTTTAAAGGCAGCTTGCCATGACAATCTGTAACATGCTTTGTTATTCTTGATAAAGCATCTTTGACTCTCTCTAGTTTCTTGCACACAACTAATGGATCTCATCACTCATAACAGTGATGCGTCGGGTAAGCTCCTCATGCTTTGATAATAATGATCTTGAACCGCTGTAGAGAAAATTGGAGAGCTCGACCTCAAATACAATCCCCTTCACTTCTAAGCCATAACCTCTTCCATTCTTCTTCCTCACTGCTTGCCTCCAAATCTCAAAATATGACTTCACAGTGATAAACTGGCTACCACTACTACTGTCAACTATTAGTGTCTCGTTCTCCCTCTCCCTCTACTTGTCTCAGAGGTGATTTCACTCCTTTTACATAATTAAAACCAATGATTATTTGGATTTTTTAAATTAATAGTGTAAGAAATTACAGAAAATCACTTCTTTATTTACAATAATACGTCATGAGAGGCCAGATACCCACTTTTGCTTCCGTAGGCGCTCATTCGTCCCAACATGCAAGTATACATTGGTGGGCAGCTGGCCAAACTGTTGAGCCTATGGAAATGAAAACAAAATCAGTATAACAAAATTGTATCATTCACTTGTTAAGTATTTACCAGATCTTACCAACTTCTGATAGTGCTCCATGTGAAGGATCGAGCCTCTAATGTGGAGTGTGAGTTGCCCATGCCCCTCTTGGTCCTCCTCTTTTTTTGGTTAGTCTAACTTTTAATTTGATAATTAGAAGAGGCCCAAACTCAGTTTAATAGAGCCTAAACCTTCTCCCTAACCTGGATGAGTTGTTCCCACTTCCTACAAGCTATGGTGAGTATATCACCAAGTCATTGCCAGCCACGAACCTAGAAAATATGACGGATCTACTAGTGATGCTTTGATAGTCAATGAAAGAACCTTTGCAAATATAAGTTTGTAATATTAATAATATGGAAAAATAACTTTAATTTAATGTTCCAATTTAAATAAAATAGTCCTACCTAATACTCCCAAAACTACATGCCCCATGTGTTAATAGTATCTTCTTCCAAGGGAGATTCGATGTATGCATGTCATGAGAGGCTTGAGATAAATAACCTGAAATAGAAATGTTGGTTACACAAAATATCAAAAAGATCATTGAACTTATTCTAATGTAAAAAGTAACTTATGAGTCTCTCTTGAGCTCAAGCAATAGTCATTTAAAGGGATTCTATTTCAAAGTGTTCGAGTAGATGGGCCCAGCTCATAAAAGAAGAATGTTGGTAGCTGACAGGGAGGTAGTGGATGCACGAGAGAAAATGAAGGTGTGAGCCCAGCTGCACTGGAAGGAGTGGGTGGATGGAAGGTTTGGTATGGGCAGCAATGATGGTAATGTTGCTAATTAACACAACACTAGTGTTATGCGAGGAAGAATGATATACCAATTTCTTCATTCTTTTGTAAGTGCTCATCAGGTCAAGTTGGTGTGGTGGCTAATCTCCAAATCTAGCAAAAGCAATATGTAACAAGAAGAAAGACCTTAATAAAATTAGCATGAAGTAAAAAAAGTAACTATAACAAGTGTAAGCAGAAGATTATAATATCAGTAGCAAAAGTAAAAACATAAAAGTGCCAAATTACAAGAAGATGCATGTTATGATTACATATAAAAATGTCAAAAAAGTAAAAGCAAGAAGATGTAAAATTAAAAGAGACAAAAATCTAAATATATATAGCAGACTCAATCAATTTCTTTAAATGAGTTAGTTGATGATGAACTTAAGTTTTTTTCATTTATATCATCATCATTTTCATCCATAATATAAGTAAGCTCTTCATACTTCATCATTGTATTCTCGAGGGTGAAAATTTCTTCAATAGAATCAAGCCGAAAACAAAAATCTAACACAATTTACTCTTGATGACAATTTACATCTTAATAGTAGTTTTTATTCATTTCTCATAACAATAGCTCAATCAATTTTATCTATTACTATACGAGGGTATCGAAAATAATAAACTTGAGTAGCATGATGTGCTAAAATAAATGGATCAAATTTCACTTATCTTCTATTAATTTTAACTTTAGTAATATCATATGGGCCTAACGTTTGTCTTACTCGATTATGAATAGGATCAAATCACTCACAGTTAAACAAATATAACATATATTTTAACTTAACGTTATTGCAACTAAATTATTTATTCAAGTAAGCCATAAAACTAATCTCAATATTTGAGTGGGTTTTTTCTCTAATAAAAAGCTCACAGTTATAGGTCTTCTTGCCTTCACACCATAAATTCATCTGAAATAAGAAAATTCAGTTTTGTAGTAATGTCATAAATCAGCACTTCTATTTCTCACAAAATTTGAAGCTCATTTCTCAAAGACTGTAAGTAGACATCAATTTTTCCTTTTGGGCTATGTGGACATTGTATGATTGAAGTCACAAATTTGTATGACATGGTCATGCACATATCAAGCGAAAATTATATGGCATAATTATCACTAGCCAACTTGAATAAGGGGTGGCGACATGATTGTATGGTGTGGACCTATATGCTTATAAGTCAAGCCTAATATTGCATGGTTCTGCTACAAAGTCAGTATAACTACAATCGAAGTGTCTCCAAGTTTCCCCATTTGAAGGATAACTCAAAGAATTTGTATCAAAAAATCTAGTATTATGGCATGTTTTGTTAGGAGTTGTATGCATAGAAGGGAAGTCTTTGAAGCCGCTAAATGAGCGGCAAGTAGAAGAGACACTTATATGGGTTATGTTTTCTAAGTTTTACTCTTTCACCCTATTTGCTTGAATTTTTAAGCACTAAAAAATATACACTTGTCTCCATTTCATTAGCCTTATAATATAATATGCAATCATTATCATATCAATTTATCTTCTCAAATAGTAACCCTAATTTTGGCATTAACTTTTTTGTTCTGTAAAGGTCATTTGGAATTAAATTCTTTGTAGGGCTCAACTTCTTTAGTAATGTTGCTACCTGATTGAAGCATTCTCTAGGCTTGTTAAAATTAGATTTGATGACTAGCATTTGCAATGCCACCAATAACACTTTATGTGTAGTGCAATCTTTCCACAAAAATTATTATGCAGCTTTTAGTAAGTCATGGAATTGTTTCGCTTCACTGTTTGATGCTTTATTATTTTATGGATTACTCTTAACAAAATAAGCATTGTGTGCATCATAAATCATTTCTTTGTATGCGTTGGAAATTTATTCCATGTGAAAGACAAAACATGACAAGACACCAACATGATCATACTGAACATATGGTTCATACTAAACATGCGTAGTTTAATACCAATAATTGACTTGAAATCCCCAGTGGTACAAACCCAACTTAGCTTCTCGAGGTGATAGATAAACTTGATTTTTATGCTTCGCATTAAGGCATCGAAATGTACCTTCTGAAAGATAAATGTGTAGTTGTGATACTACCTACACAAATTCCTTAAAATCATTCAGGAACTCAGCAGTCGGTTGTTTTCTTTCTGATAAGATCGATATTATATATCCATAAGCTCCAATTTCAATTATCCATCCACAACATATATATATATATATATATACATATATAGATTAATACATTTAGATATCCTTCATACATAAATTTCGCGTGTATTAGATATCTGACACCAAAATTTTCAATGTTTACATACAAATTATACACAATTCTTATGTATTACACATCGAACACCTAAACTTCGATTTATACATACAAATCATAACTTGCTTATCTCCCTGGTGCTTGGTTTGGTTATGTGAATTGGTTTATCTGTTACCCATCTCTATTCCTTTGTGGTTGGGTTGGCTCTTTATTGTTTTATTGCTCTTATTTACTGCACAAGTAGTCTCTTTATTGATCTCTACTATACCTCTCTTGTTGTGGTTCATGCTAGGGCTATCAAAAAAGTTTGTTAATATCAAACACCTCATTTTCAATTCATGAAGTATCTTGTGTTCGATTCATTTGTTAAGCAAGAGAGTCAAATACAAATAATTGTTTTGAGTTTGATAAATAAGCCAAGCATGAAAATTTAATTTTTGTCCATTGTGTTATGTTAATTGTCATGTTCTCATTTAATTTTAATAAATTAAGATCATTTCTATATAATATGACAAAGTCTTTTTAGGTCTACATCTATCATTCTTAGCGTAGGTTGAATCTTAAACATCTAGTCTCCCAAAAATGTCATGATTAGATGTTCGACATTTAGTGTGACCAAATCATTTAAGACGACTTTCTCTAATCTTATCTGCCACTGGAGCAGCACCAACCCTTTCACGAATATATTTGTATTGCATTTTTTTTTAAGTGTAAAGCCACTCATCCACTGAAGCATTTTCATCGCAATGATAAATAACTTAGTTTTATACTTCCCTTTTATAAGCCAACATTCTGAACAATAAATCATTGCAGGTCTCACCACCATCTTATATAATTTTCTTGTAATTCTAATGTCTCATCCACTGAAGCATTTTCATCGCAATGATAAATAACTTAGTTTTATACTTCCCTTTTATAAGCCAACATTCTGAACAATAAATCATTGCAGGTCTCACCACCATCTTATATAATTTTCTTGTAATTCTAATGTTAATTTTCTATCACACATAATAGGTCTGACACATTCCTCCATTTCAACAATAAAACCTGAATTATACTAATAACATCGACATCTATATCACTATTTGAACAATAGCTTGAGATATGTAAAACTTTCACTCCTAAGCACTCCTAAGCAATCTCTTGGAAAAAAATGTAGGAGAAAATTGAAAAATGAGAGGAGAAGTTTACCTTAAACTTTAAGTGGATGAGGAGTCGTCAGAGACACAATTTTGCAAAAGAAATGTGGTTGACATTTGGAAGAGTTTGGTCGGAGCTACCTTCAAACACGGAAGAGGGCGCGAAGGAGGCCATGGGGTGTGGGATTAGAATTTTAGGTGATCTGCATCGGATTTGCGTCGAACTACTCAAACGCTCATAAATTAGCATTAGAATTACCATTAGATAGTTCAATGCTATTAAGTGGAACCCTTATGTTAACAGCGTTCTAACACTAAAGTCGACACAAATTATTTGCAGTGATCTATAGACGATGCTAAAGTTGACGTTAAAATTATGCATCAAAATTATTCGACACACAAAACATCCCTAACTCTTAACGACGCTACATGGACGCAAATACAACCCTAAAATTTAAGTCCAAAAATTTCTAACGCAAAATTTGACGCTAATAATTAGCTAATTCTATGTAGCGAGAAATTCAAAATTTCAAAATGCAACTCACTTCAATATTTCAAAATGCAACTCACAAACTCACACAAGCTCTACTTTGAAGCGCACACATTCTTTTTTTAGACTTGATTCATAACCCATAAAAGTATGGGATATTTATACAAGTTTAGACATAATCAACAACACACATTATTCACCAGCGAAACTGATTTCAACTCATCATTCTTCATCTACCACATCTTCTACGCACACATCCATCACACGTCTTAGCTAACAACATTGACCTAATATTGATTTTTCAACAGTTTAATTTTTCAACAAGTTAATTATTTAAAATAAATTTATTTTTAACACAAAACAAATTTTTTTCTAACACTTATAAATAACGAGAGTACTCCTATACTAAAACAACTTAATTCTCACCATATGAAGGCCTCTATATTTTGAAAAAATATTGGATGTGGGTGGAGAAAATATTACGTCCGTCCGGATGTAGAATTACGTCCGAATTCCAATTAAATTTTGACACCTCTCAAATATATAAAATACAATAATATTGGATGTGGGTGGAGAAAATATTACGTCCGTTCGGATGTAGAGTTACGTCCGTTCGGATGTAGAGTTACGTCCGAATTCCAATTAAATTTTGACACATCTCAAATATATAAAATACAATTTTTTTATCTAAAATGCCGAGAAGCCTGAAACTCGACCCAACCGAGTGTACATCATTGTAGTGAAAGTTTTTCTTCAATAAACTCATGTTCTACCAAGTAAAAATATATCTAAATAAGTAATTCGATGCAAAAATCATATAGTATAACCATATATAAGTATAAAAGAAAGGAAACAGAAATAAAATACAACCAACATAAAATCAATGCCAGATTTTATAAAGCAGCCGCATGCAAAGTTCAAGCCCAAACCCTCAAGCCGCCATCATGACCTTGAACTCCTCAAAACAAAGCACCCCATCACCATTAATGTCGAACCTCTGAATCATAATCTCACATGCATTGATATCTCTCGAGGCACCCAACCTGCTCAGCATTCGCTTCAGGCTCTTCGGAGTGATGCATCCTTGGCCATCCATCTCATACATCGCGAATGCTTCCCTCAGCCCCCTCTCCTCCTCTTCTCCTCCTCCAACTTCTAACAACTCGAAGAACTCCTCCACTGACAGCAACCCATCACCATCCGAATCCAACGACAGGACCAAAGCTTCAGCTTCGTCCCAAGTCATCTCATCTCCGATTATCCGCATGCAGGAACGTAGCTCCGCAGGCGATATCTTACCGTCACCGTCTTCATCAAAGCAGCGGAACACATCTTCCAATTTTCCAGCGAAATTACTTCTCATTTTCTTCATGTTATATATGTATTAATATTCGAAAAGTTTTTCGCCTTGGCTCACCACAAGTAATGACACATATTTATATATATATATATATAGGAAAGGAAGCATCCAGATATATTCTGTTTAGTTGGGAAAGCTAGCCGTGAAAGGCCGGATGTTTAATATTTCGATTTGCGCGTGGAAGTCTCCGGTCAAGGAAACACAACTTGGAATATGCTGGAAGGTTTTGTGCGTCTGCTTTTGAGTTTTTGTCCGCAGTTTTACGCGATTAAAAGCATTATTCGGCTGCCGCAACTTCTGAGAATTTGTGGGCAGCATCAATGTATTGTTTGTGGCGTACTCTGAAAGTTTTGTGGGGGCACTTACATAACTATGTCTAGGGCCGAAAACGAGCTGAGTGAGCTCAGGTTTGGCTCGTGTTCGATTTTTTTGAAATAGCTCGTGTTCGAAATCGGCTCGTGAACAGTGTGTTCGTGTTCAGCTTGATTTAAATATTTGTGTTTGTGTTCGGCTCGTGTTCGGCTCGAAATTGACTCGTAAAAATTAAATTGAAAAAAATTGATGTAAAGTATGAGATTCGAACATAGACCAAATGTATACAAAAGAAAACACTAACCATATTATCACACGAGATGTTATGATTTAAATTTAGATATAAATATATATGTTATGATTTAAATTAAGATATAAATATATATAATATATTATTATACAAATATATGATGTAAATTATTATTTTAATAATTATATAATTTTTTTTATTTCGAGCTAAAACGAGTCGAACACGAGTGATCAAAGAGCTGTTCGTGTTCGGTTGGCTCGTTTATAATTTGAGCTTTAAAAACTTGTTCGTGTTCTGCTCATTTACTTAACAAACGAACCAAACACAAGATACTTAACGAGCTAAACACAATTCTCGTGAACGAATAAATTTTAATGAAATTTTGCGTGCACACGGCTTAAAAGTTTTAAGATCATTTAAAAAATATAATATTTACAATCTTTTTAAAAATCAAAATTCATTTCAAACATAATTTCATGAGATCAAGAAGTTATAAGCGTAAATATTAAATCTTAGGTGTTAGATGTATATGTAGATACATCAGAAATGACTGTAAATTTCACTTTTCTTTGGGCTTCATGCAACTATTAAGGCCATATGTGATAATGTTTATGTTTATTTTTATAGTTTTAGGAAAATAAGTTGAAAAATTAGTAAAATATGCTAGAAGAAGATGACAAATTTTGAGTTTTTTTTGTAAGCTTTTGAAAGTAGATTATTTTTATTTTTATTTTTTACTAGTAGCGACTTTTGGGGGGAAGAAATTTAAATTAAATCACATAATAAGAAGTCCTATTTTACGTTTCAATCACTTTTATATGTAAAATAAGAATAAAATATTATATATTATATAATATTTTATTATAAGATTTAAAATTTGATATTTAAAATAGTATATATTGTTAAACACTTATATGATTAAGTCCTAATAGTAAAATATTAGCAAAAAAAGCATATATTTTTATAAGATTTCTTATATGTTAAATGAAATATAATAGTTGACATATTTCATATGTTGTATTGTCATATTTTTATTTACATAAAATTAAATAAAAGATAAATAACCATGATCAAAATAAAAAATTCAAATTTTATATTCATATATGTTGTCAAGCAAAAACATCAACAAAATAAAAAACTAAATAAAATAATAAAGATGTTAAATGCTAAATTATTCATGATACTTAGAGTGTGTATTGTCTTAATATTGATAAAAGTCCCTCACATACGCTAGCATGAGCCAAATTCAACTAGAGCGCTTAGAAAGTGTTTATTTCGAAGACAATTGTGCAACAAAATTGAAGTAGAGTCATAGACGCTAAATACAAATTCCAATGATGACAAAAAAAGAAGCAATAACCGTCTTTCAAACCTAAGTAGAATTATTTCAAATGACAAAGGTTTGCACTCTTTGCTAATGGCTATGGCAATTAACATTTGATATCCTTGGTCAAATTAACAATCAAAATATTGAAGTAGAGGATGATTTGGACAATTTAAATGAGGATGTGGTGATTTATGACAGTGACAGAGATTTTCTTATCATATCTTGGGTATTGAACATAATGTTACTCAAGGAAGATAATTGATTATGACCAATATCACTCGCACACGTTGTACTTTATAGAGCAAAAGTTTACAATATTATTATCAATGATTGCAATTATCAGAATAGCAAATTTTAAAGGTGATGGAGATATAATGCCTACAAACTCACAAGCATCCAAAACCTAGCAAAATATCATGTTGAGAATGGGAAATAAAATAATGGTGGCAAAAAGATGCGCGGTTTTCATTCATAGTTGGCAAGGAATTCAATAAATAAGTTAAGCGCAACATCATTTTTATGGACATATACCACATCTTCTTAGCAAGGCCTTGGCAATATGATCAACAATATAATCTTTAATAAATACATGAATAAATCTTCTTTAAAAATGATGGTAAGAGTATCATGTTGATGTCGAGCACCTCGAAACACATAGTGCCTTTCAAATCAAAGTTTGAATAAATGTACCACATATGAGGTAAAAATTATTTTTGGTAATTACTCAAAAAGGAAATTCTAAAGAAGAAACCCTTCTTGTAGGTTTGCCTAGTGTTAGTGGCATTCAAAACATTGATAAGTTCCTTATCTTTAATTTCAAAGAACTTTAGTTTATAGTCACACCTTAAATATACATTTACAACACATCCAGGAAGAATGAAAAGTATTGTGAGAGCAATATTGTATTTCAAATTAAAAAAAAATTCACTTATAGACAACATAACTATGTAGTGTTGAGATTAACTAGTAAGATGGTTAAAATTATTCAATTAATTATCCTTAAGGGCCTTCACCAAATTAAGGAACTCTTAACATTTTATGTCTCTTTATTATTTTTATTAGGCTTTTTAGCTCCAAAACTGTGTTAATTATCAAGAAACAAAACTAGTTCAAGATGCAAAGAATTATTCTTTTCTAATCATCGGTTGCTCTCAAAAGCTAAGTCCAATTTTGGTGGCAATGCTTCAAACATTTACACCAAGAGTTCAAGATGCAAAGAATTATTCTTTTCTAATCATTGGTTGCTCTCAAAAGCTAAGTCCAAATTTGGTAGCAATGCTCCAAACATTTACACCAAGCCTAAGTCCTAAATTTCATCATGATGATATTTATATTCCACCAAGCCCATCATGAACAATTTTCATAATATCAAACCCAAATCCAAAATCCAAGTCCAAGCCTAAAACCAACTTACCTTAACCCATTTCTAAAGCCCACCAAAACCAAGCCCAAAATCCAAATTCAATTAAAATAAAATCCACATGACAAAGCAAGCCTCCCCTTTTATCACATTAAAGCTCAATCAAGCCTAAGGTGTAATGTATCATGATTTAAATTGATCAAAATTGAGCTAATGAAAAATAATTTTCAAAGGATGAAATTCTCACACCTCCTCTTTCATGCAAGCCATGTAGGTCATACATGAGCCATAGGTAAGCCATATGGCTTCACCCAAGCCAAGTGGAAGCCATGAAGTCATGTGCAAGCCTGACGTGATACAACCTTCCCTAAATAGAAAAAGGAGGATGTCCTTTAATGATTCCCCCAAAAGTACTTAAACTTACTCATGCTTCACCTAGCCCATATGAAAAATATCATATCCAAGCCACCATGGGGAGTGAGCCAAACCCTTCCCCATGACTCAAACCCAAGTCAAAACCAAAAGAGGCCTCTCTCTCCTGTTGAATTTCAATTCATCACACATACCCATGCTTCAACCCAATTAGCTTCACTAACACACACCACTGAGCTCCCTCAGCAAGATGGGGACCTCCCATGCCTTGGTCAGCCATCTTGGCCGTCAGAAAACCCAAAATCAAGAACCACCACCATGACCAAAACCCAAAATTTGACCCATCCGATGTGGCTCACTCCAATTGGATTTTTGTCTCCACCTCAGCACCTCATAAGTCCACTTTCCACCTCCTAGTTTGGCCAATTAAAGCCTCTGACTGAGCTTATAAGTAGAGCACCCCCTCACGGCAAAAGGAAAGGAGTGCTTGAATATAGGGGAAACTCTACCCAATTGCCTCCAAACCATTCCTAGACTCACACGAACTTCATCCCCATCATTTTTAGCTCCTCTCCTCCACCTCAAAACCATACTTTATCCATTGAAATCCAGAGCTTTTCGCAGCCATTTCATTAACTTCACCAAAACTCTAAATTGGTCCTTTCAAAAGCTTTCCCACACCACAAAATCACTTCTTCACTCCAAAGCCCCCTTTCTCGAGTCCTCTACCATAGCTCTGGACCACACACAATCCACCATTTGGTCTAGGGCACACCTAGACCCATCTAGAGAGAAAATCAATGCTTAGAGGAGGTTCGTGGTGCCAAGATGAAGTTTCTCAACAAATCTAATTGAGGTCTCGCCACTTGGACAAATGTATAGCCTGAAAACTCCCATTTTTGCCTCATTTTGGTGAAGAGAATGAGCAACTCGTGTCTAAATACTAGTATAGATATGTTTGCCTCACATATATGAAGGTGTAGGAAGAAACCGCATCGAATTTGGTTAAGTATCGAGAGAGATCTTAGCTCTAGAGTGTGGGTAGTTTAGGGTTATGATTCATTTGGAACAATGAATGAATGTCGTCCATCCCTGTGTATTCAAAACCGACAACACTAATTGAGTCGAACGAGGGATCGGGCCGGTATATGACCCTGGACCGCGGGCTGACGGGGCGGGCCACGTGGAAAGCTTGACCAACCAGGACATGCCGCGCAAAGCTTCGGATCTGCCTAGGTTGAGGTGGTACCGATATGGATAAGTAGGAAAATTGAGATTTTCTGACTTAATTAATTCTGGAAAATGAAATATAATTTCAAAAAAAAAAACATATCTTAGAGTAGAAAAATTACAAAAATAAAATAAAAATATTCCTATACTTAGCGAACTAAAAATAAAAATATTTATTTGATATTATTTTAAAATT